TTCATAGAAACTTAATCTTATGTTAAGGTAGTTACTGAACAAAGGAGGTTTCGCAGTGCATCGCTCTCAGATAGAAGCTTTACAGTTTTTTGTGTGTGGATGGCCACTACACTTGCCTTTTCATCACTTACCATAAATTAATAAAACGTAAATCTATTTAATAGAATTTATTCCTTTTAACGCTTTGTACACAATTCATCCAGTAATCCATTCATGAACAAAAAGAGAAAATAAAGGGATGATTCCTTTGAAACTTACAAGGTTTATATTTTTCTTTGTACTTTTAGCTTTGATGGAAGTTGGGCTTTGTTTGGAGGGACTGGCCGGCCGTAAAGAGTTCAAGAAACCCTCCCTCGGCATTACTAAGGCAGATTCTCGCTTGCTTCCTTCCATTAATATCAGAGCTCATTCAATACAAGTCGCGTCGGTTGTTTTGTTATTAAGAGTGACATCAATAATAAACCAACTGACATGGCTTGTATTGAATGGGCTCTGATATTAAGGGAAATTATTATATTAAGAAATGTCTATTAGCTTAAAATTAAGGAAATTGACTGAGTTTCAACTGTAGCAAAATCGTACGTCTTTGCTAAAAACACAATGTTAAAAAAACCCCCGACACAAAAAAAAAACAGTATAAAACCTTAACATATACATGCTGTAATTTTCTGAGGAGTTGGCTATCCCGCAGACGACTTGATGCAGCAGCAAGTTCCACGTTCCCATGTCGTGATGAAATGATGAAATGATATTTATTTTAATGAAATGATATTTATTTCTGCAACTAAATCTTTTCAGATATTTTTACAATTCGTACTTTACAGCTAGAAGGAGCCGGCAGTTCCTAAGACTCGCTCTGGAAAGAAACGCCGACACAAACCACAGAGCTGTTGTTAAAGAGATAACCACAATGTTAACGAGAACTATATGAATGCAGTATAATAATCTGGGTCTGGGTTGGCCTTTTGAAGAAAGGACCATAGTATTGAGTCAGCCCCTTCCATAGAGACGGCATGCAAGCCCCAGCCATTGTATAGCCTAACCGATATAGTCAGGATTACCAACCTACCGCCTGCAGGACACTTGAGTGGGCCGTGGAAACACTCAAAATCACCAGAAAGTTACTAAATTATGAACTAATATTACAAGCCTACACTATACCCACATTTACATACTTACACAAAAAAAAACCAAACAATTCAATTTCAAATAAACAAATTGAAAACAAATGAAATACGAATTACGACCAAAAATTTAATTTCTTTCCCTTTCAAATGTGGGAGTGAGCAGCATCAATTCCAAGCAAATTTGTCATCTATATAATCTGTAACCGTGTAGTAAGCATTTTCACATAGTTTTTGTTTAACTAAGGACTTAAATTTTTAACACTTAATTCATAAAATTTGCTTGGCATTTTATTTGCAGAATTGTAGAATTGTATTTCTAGTGTTTATATTATGAATGGCGCTGAAATGAAACTTTGTGAATAAATGAATATTTTTCTTAACATACACTAAATTTTCATATATATTGAGATGCGACTGTCATAATACCAATTGCTTTAAACTTATCCCTCAGTATAGCGCGAATAGCTCTCTTTTGCAACAGAAAGATCTCTGAATGTCAGCAACATTTCCCTACAACAAAATACCATATGACATTACACTATGAAAATAGCTAAAATTCACTAGTCTGTTTCTACTGTTTCTACATCAGTTAATTGACGAATTTTATAAACCGCATATGCTGCAAAGCTGAGTCTATTCGAAAATCATTCATCAATGTGTGGGCCCCACTGCAATTTAGAGTCCAGAGTTATATACAAAAAACATAGTAGTGTCCACAAGATCCAACTCCTTTCCATTTATCAGAACATTGGTTTCCATCTGCTTAACATTAGGTTTAAAAAAATCGAATACATTAATTTTTTTCTCGTTTAAAAGTAAGTTATTACCGTTGAACCAGTTCACGACCTTGAAGAGAGTGTTATTCACATCGTCAGTAACTGATTGCTGTCGTTTCAGTTTAAATAAAAGTGTAGTGTCATCCGCAAATAGCACTATCTCCTGATCATCTTTTATCAGATTAGGTAGGTCATTTTTATAAACGAGAAACCAGAATGGGCCGAGAATTGAGCCCTGCGGAACCCCCATAGTGACCAGAGACCCGAGGGACCTCTGTCCATTAACTTCCACTCTCTGGGTCCTATTACCCAAATAAGAAATAAGAAGATCCAAAGCAGTATTCCTTATTCAATTGTGATGCAATTTCTTGATCAATGTTGCATGAAATACGCAATCGAATGCTTTAGACAAATCACAAAACACACCCAGCGCATCCCGTTTCTCGTTCCGTTTATCCTCCCGGATAAACGGAGGGAGAAACGGGTTGAACTTACCAAATACTCTGTCCAGAAGTTCAACATCAGCATAACTTGTCGAGCGACCTCTTCTGAAGCCAAATTGTTTTACTTTGTAGAATACTGTTTACACTACAGTGAGTTTGTTGCTGGTCTAGTATTCTTTTCTCAAAATTTTTACTGAAAGTAGGTTACACTGAAATAGGTCTATAATTTGTAGGATCAGACGTTCTACTCGCCTTAAATTAAGAAATGATCTTACTATGCTTCATTAGGTCAGGAAATACACCACATTCAATGCACTTATTGAAAATTAATGCCAAATACGTTAATAATTGACTTTGTTATTTGTACAAAACTACCCCAAAGGTCTGCGGTTTTCTTAACACAAAGAGCATTAAAGGTTTTAAGAATATCTCTATCGGTGATACAACTAAATCTAAACTCAGTATTACAAATGTTAATATTCCCTTTCAATAAAGATTCTTCAATAGTGGGGGACGAATTTAATGACTGAGACAAACTGGAATGTCTGTGATTTTTTTCAAAACCTGTGGCAACGTCTAAATCAGAGTTTCTTTCTTTATTGTCAATTGAAAGGCTGTAATTATTACATTGTTCTTTGCTTTTATAGTTTCGGCATACATTTTTTCCCGGGTCATTCTAATTTTATTTGAACTAATACTTATTTTAGATTTCAACTAAGTAACCTTTGCGTGATGACATATTTTTGTGAATAAATTGGAATATTGTTAAACATATTCACGAAATTCCATACTAGTTATGTTATTATTTGATTCTTCATAGAGCTCATAAAGCCTTGTTCTACTTTTATATATTCCTACCATTCGCTGAAGGATAACTTCTTAGGAGTAAAAGTTGATTCAAAGTCTGAACTATGCATGTTAAAAAAGCATTTTATAATTGATTAGGATCATCATTATAAACCAGTTACCGGGCAGTTTATTTTTAAAATTTTCCATACGAGTTACAGTTTTAGGTACTGCATTAATATCTCGTGTTACCACAATTTTGATTTTATAGCAAAAGGACATCTGTCTACAGTGATCAGAATGTAGTTTGTTTATTATTCCTTTGGTGTGTGGCAGTATGTCAGTATACAAGCGGATGCGGATCGGATGGAGGCCTGTATACACTCAATATAATAAGCTCTAACCTCACACATGCTATCTCTATTGTCCGTTCAACAGAGAAATCCACAATATCAGTACGGCTATCAATTTTGTCACAGCTCATGAACACTTCAATCTCTAGGTGCTTACAAGACATTCCTTGAATATTTTAATGCCCCAGAGAGAAAGTGTTTGTTAAAGATTTTTCTGATACCATTCTATATATTTAAGCTAGAGGTTGCCTCTATTGTCCCGATATCTAGTTTAAAATGACAGAATTAGTAGCCAAATGCTTGGCTGGATTAACATAAGTTGTCTGACCAACTGGTTTAATAGCCAAGTTCTTGGCTTGGAAATACCATAAAAGTTACTGTATACCAAATTTCAGATCAATCGGACCTGTAGATTGTATTGAGATCCCTTCATGAACTAAGAAGTGAGCTGATCTTCAAAATTTATAGCTAAGAACCATCTTAATCACCTCGGCTTTCGGACAAAAAATCTGCATCGAAATTGGTCCCTCCGTTCGGGAGCTATGATCACAAACAGACAGACAGATACACAGGTTAAACTTTCAACACCCCTTTTTTCCGTCGGCGGTTAAAAACAAGATACTCTTAAAACCCTTTGTTTATTTCATGGGTGGAGTAATTTTACTTATAGTGTTGACATAAATCAAAGCCAATCAGAGTAGTTGGCCTCTTTTTACATGAAGTGTAAGTGCTACACAGAATTTTTCAACTAATTACGTAAAAGGTGTTTTCAGATCGAACTACGGGTATTTTTATATACCAATGTAATAATTTACCAGTAATGATTTAGGATTTTCGATGTCTCTTGGCTGGTATTTTTCAAGACATAATAATAACCTGAGTAGTTTAGGTTCGAGAGACAGTTTTTATTTATATTTCGGATGTTGCGGATCAGTTAAGTATTAACTTAACATATATAAATTATTCTAAGGTAAGAAAGAAGAACAAGAAGAAAATTAAACTTCACTCTCAATTCCTTCTTCCCGAAGCTTTACTATAAAATGTTTTATAACTATTTTAAATTAAAGAAAATTTTAAGAAGCAGACTGTCTTAAAATAGCATTACAATTTTTTCAATATTATGCTTACAAACTTACATTTGCAACATATGTGGGAGAACATTCTCGTCGAAACGTATTCAACATATGGAATCCTTCCCACACAACGCACTTGGCCGGTTTTACTTTTTATTTAGAATCGATAATATAAATAGAATCTTTAGGTAGGAACAGCACTAAGTAAAGCAGTGGTAAGCCCGTGATACCTAATCAGTCGGGAGCTCTGGGAGTCTCGGTAGAAGCTTGCGATAAAACATCTATATCACACTTTTTTCTAATTCTACTATGTAGCCTCGGCGGAGCTTTAACGTTAGAAACAATTAAATTTTACAATCGTTTTGCTAATATTAATGTATAGATAGATATAGAAAATATTATAATTTTAAAAGCTATGACGTCAGGCTAGACCTTTTACCTGATGTTGAAGAATACTCATGGTGCATTCAAGCTGATGTCACAAGTGAACATAGCGAATTTTTTCATAAAGAACCGAGCGAAGCGGGTTTGGAGCACCAAGGTCAAAAGTACCTTACCAGGCTTTATGCCCGTATGTATAAAGTAATGGTCGGAGTGGTCGCTTTGACACCGCGCCGAGCGCGGTTGATCAAATGCTGGTACCCAACAAATATTTTTGTTACGCAAAGATGGTATTTCCGTCTTCCTACCCTTTGTCTACATGAATATATTTTTTTTACACCACTCATAGATAATAGACATTGAAATGGCTATTTGAATGAACTACTACATATGTACACATAAAATAAACACAATTCATTTAATAATTAATTACCATAATTTGCAATTAAGAGTATTTGTCACTTTTATTTGCTATTCTGCGCACTTGTCTCACTTATTAAAGGTCGGTTCCGTTTCAAAGAAAATTCCGAAAGGGACGTGAACGTTAGCGAAAGACTTCCTAGTAACTTGACTGAATCGACACCGTTCGTGAAACTTCTAGAACAACGTGGGACATTCTTTAATGCTTGAACTTTTTCTATAATATTCGATTAGTTCCTCGTGTCTCAAAATATAGCGTCGTTACAGTATTTAATAAATCTTGGCTCCTTTCATCAAACTGTCAAGCAACACATTAGAAAAAAATGCCTATCTTAAATCTTTATAGCTCGAAAGATGGACATACTCGTACATCAATGTTGTAATGTAATGTTGTAAAATGGATAGACAACTTATTAGAGTTTTGATACGAACCTTCATAATGACAATGTTTGTTTTTTTACTCTATGTGTTCTCTGGAACCATTCGGATTTCCTCAAAAAGTTACGTAGAAACCTTGTTGTCGTTTGGGCATTAAAAATATGTTTACTTTTAATTCATTTTAATTTAATTTCATAGTTTTGATTTAGATTTACGAGTATAAGTTCTCAGTCAATCATCTATATATCTAACATTATTTGCCATTAAAAAAGATTTTTGAAAATTTCACTCTAAAGGGGCAAAATAAAGAGAAATAATGACGCGAGCAAAGTCGCTAGCAATTGCTAGTTTTGTATAAATGCTCGTTACCACTATGTCACACACGTTATCATTTATAAATTCTTAGCAGCCGATTTAAAATAAATGAATTTTTAATTAATATCAGCGGTACTTCTAGATGAAAGTACAATTTAAGTTTCACTAAAATGTAGTTTCGGTTTAATATATGCCTAATAGAGACAATCGTAGTTTCAAATTATTATAAAAACAATTATTTGATATTTAAGGATAATTTACAATTACTTACGCCTCCGTGTGGTGACGGATTAAGAATACAAATTGTCACCACCCCAATTCATCCCGTGGGTGTCGTAAAAGCCGACTAAGGGAGCAAACTAAGCAGGACAACAGCACTGCAAAGAGAAGGAAAACTTGAAACAAACCCTATACCAACCCGTCTGGCCAGCGTGGTATAGTAGGCCAAAACCTCCTTTCTAAGGAGAGGCCTATGTCCAGCAGTGGACTAGTATAGGCTGTTGATGATGATGATGACGCCTACATGGAATTTCATGCTATGATACTCGTATACGACACTCAGACAGCAGTTTTTTTCACAGTACAATGCTTTCACTGTTGCAAGAATGCAATAAAATTTCAATTGTTTTTTTGTAAATGTTGTAATAAGCGAGTTTTATCTGCTCCATATTATTCAGTCGGATGACTTGGATGCTATTCCGGTCCAGCATTCGACTGTAACATTGCAGAATTTCAGGGCACTCGCCCATAAACATCCTGTTTTTTTAGCCCCCACGGACCATCACTGCTTCTGAGGTTTAAAGGTTTCGCTGTATGTCGGAAACGAATCTACTAAAACCCGGCATGCCACTTTGAGTTTCCAACGAATAAACTCGTTCTAGTATAATGGGCAGACGTTGCTGCTTTTGACTAGAGTCTTACGTTTCGAAATATCATTTATAATATATATACGCAGTTAGAAATATCTATGTATGTTTATGAGCAGTCTGGTTATTATAGTACAGGATCTGCCTAGTTTGGGATCAGACGATCGTGTGTAAGATGTGTGAAGTTATTATTATTTCCTTCTAACGTGCGGATTACTTCATTAGAGATGTTTATATATATATATATATATATATATATATAAAGTATACGAGTATATCTTTATATATATAATTCTTCTGTGAGTGTGTATGTCACTGAACTTCTCTCAAACGACTGGACCGATTTTGATGAAATTTTTTGTGTGTGTTCAAGGGGATCTGGGAATGGTTTAGATTCACAATTTTGTCCGCTGGACAATGTTTTTTTAATTAATTTTTAATTTATTAGTAGTTGTTGATTTTGGAATGTTTTACATTGGATCAGACAGACGGCGCTACCATCGCAGTGTCAAATTTGACAGGACAACGTCCGTCGGGTCCGCTAGTATATATATATAGCCATACAACCTATAAATTTGGAGATTTTTAAGACCAGAGAAATTCAAATAAATTTCATTCTAAAGCCATGTTATTTAATTTAAAATTCAGTCATTTGTTTTAGACAGTGTTTTGTTTTATTAAATATTTAAATTTTTTGGTGCCATGGATAAATTTGTACAATATGGCAAATATGAGTTCCTACGTGGAAATACCGCTGCACAAACAATTCGAAACATTAACGACGTATACGGGCCTAGCACTGCTTGCATAAACACGGTCCATTATTGGTTCAATCGTTTTAGACTTGTAAATTTGGGTTTAAAAAACGAGCCTCGCGGTCAGCCGGTTACTATAGTCGGCAATGACGAATTGAAGGTCATAGTGAAAGCGGACCCAACTCAATCTACGGTTGAGCTTGCTGAGGGCTTCGGAATTAGTGTCAAAATAACATGGAAGTACTTGCGTCAAATTGGAAAGATGAATATCTAGATAAGTGGGTGCCAAACGAACTAAGCGACCATCAGCGAGTCTTACGCGTCGAAACATGCATAGCACTACTGAATTGGCCTAGAAACCAGGGAATTCTGATTCGAATTGCTACAGTTTGTCTCAGTGGATGGACGCGGGTACAGCACCTAATCACTGCACTAAAAAAAAGATTACCCATAGGAAGCTGATGGTGACTGTCTGGTGGACCAGTGTCGCTCTTGTACAGTTTCTTACCCATTGGCACAATAGTAACAGCACATGTCTATTGCCCAGAAATGTAAACAATGATGGAGAAGCTCGCAATTGTTCTCCATTGACAACTCGCGAGCTCAGACTTCACGATAGACAAACGCAAAGCTACAAGAGTTACAGCTGAAAGCTTTCCGTCACACACTTGACCCCGGCTTTCTACTTTTTTCATAATTTAGACAATCTTGTAATCAGGAAAAAAATTCAACACCCGAGAGAGAGAGAGGCAACAAACTCGTCAAAGGCATTTTGTACTGCCTCTCGGGAATTGAATTTTTTACTCACTAAAAAGTCTTCTAAATTTTGGAAAAAGTAATAGTCGGTAGGTGCAAGGTCAAGGTCAAATTTAAAAAAATAAGTACTTTCACTTATTGCATACAAAACGGCAATTTCATAGGTAAAGACCTATTATTTCAAAAGAATACAGTTGGTTTTCTATATTCATTTTTCTTTAGCATAAAAGGGAACTTATATTCTCTTTTATAGCTTGCTAACGTGTATGCAACGTTACACGATTTCATAATTAAAGGTGGATTGCTTAGTTACCGCAAGGCATGATCAATAATACTCAATAGGTATAACATGTGTATTAGTTACAATAATTGTACAGTTGTAAGTGGTTACCTCGGTAACTGCCACTGTATGGAGTATTGTAGTTTCCATTCTTTCTTAAAACAAATCATTCGTTTATTGTCGAGCTAGATCGGTGTTTAGAATTTCAGGACATTGTACATTGTAGCATTACGCTAATTAAGACGTGAAACTCTATATTGACTTAATTGATTGGCAAAGGTACAACTAAGCCTTTTTGTAATTTTTCGGGTTAGAAGAGGACTGCCATCTACAGAGTGTAATAAATCTCATGAAATTGGAACTATTATTTTAACGTTTATGTAAAAAGCACGTAGAATTTCTAGAACAAGTACATTAAGATATTTCTTATCGCTAGCAAAACAATAAATATACACCAGAATATCTTTTAGATAAAATATATGCTCTTTACGGTCTGGGATTTCATGTGTCAGTTAGCAAACGCAGTGAATAAAACTCAGACGACTCCAACAAAACATCATAAGAACTAAAAACGTAAAAATAAACCCGCTCGAGAAATGATTTAATTAATTAAGAAGAATTCGTCTTTCATTTAATGAGACGTACTTTGAATAAAAGCTTAGGTTTAATTAATTAAATGAACTTTATGTTTCTTTTTCGAAAAAAGAACCTTGTTTTTGTTTATATCTAACTAAGAACAGCGCTGTGGTATTAACAATTGTGTGAAACGAGTGAGTGTGGACGAGTTTAAGAGTATTTTTCTAATGGATTTTATTGACTAAGGGAAAGTAAATGTACTCGTTTTTAATATTTTTTTGTGAATGTAATAAATAAAAAAAGGGTTTGAAATGTGCAACCAACAATCTGTGCTTTACAGCTATGCTATTAACTGGTCCACGGTCTTATTTAGATAATGGAGTTACTGGCGCCATTAAGGATGAACTTCCCCTTTCACATTTTTGCCAATTTTGTTTTGCCACTAATGGAACCTTCCTGACGTTTTGAAGTTCTATTCTGTGAAACGTTTGTTTTACCAATCCGCAATCTTACACCAAACCGAGACTGCGATTACTGCTCACGAGAGCGTGCGCAGAGTGCAATGTTCCTTTTAAGTTTCCATGAGATTAGGATTTAGTTCTAGTAACACTTGTTACGAATTTCACCAATTTTGAACAAACCTGATCTTTTGTTGTTATACAGGTAACATCGTCTTGGTGTCTTATTCTTTAATTTTCAAAAACACCTCAATATAAATTTAGTTCAATGTTACTATACTTAAAGATATAGGAACACACTGTTTATACAAACATTAGAGTTCAAAGCATCTGGACATCAATCAAACGTTTGGGACGTTCAAATTGCTTTATAGATACACCTGCTATATATCCCCGTGTATAAGTAGATACAATAACAACTTATAAATATACATTACATATTAGGTATTTTACTAACCTAAAGCTACGATATGTTTTGGAATACTCTTTGACTGGGCGGGCGGGATATGTCACACGATAACGACGTTGTTTCTCGAAAAAAGGACAAAGATACTAAACGTAGTTAGTGGAGGTAGTCAGGGAGACTGAAAATATTTTCGCATCTTATTTGATCTATATACAGACTGAATATACCTACTTAATGTTAGCAAAGCATAAATAAATATGTTCTCGAAAATAAACTAGCTAAACGAAGGAGCATATTTACTTCAAAACAACAACTTGCAGATGTAAAAAGTACGAGATACGAGAAAGACACTCGAGGGATGGAAATTCGTAGCTTGTAGCGATGCTGAACATGCCCTGGAGTAATATAAATATCACGTTGTATCGTATTAACTGTCACAAAAACTGCCATCTCTCAACATTCTCTTTTTTATGAAAAGTTATGCAACTCGTTCCAAACTAACTTTATTGCGTAATTTAACGAAATTTATTATGTACCTCTAAAATTATATCATTATTTCCAGTTTGTTTTCGACTACTGAAATGAATAACCATAAAGAAAAATTTGAGGGAAGGCTTTAAGGGAAGCGCTTCTGGAATATCGGTTACAATTATAGTTCACAGGAACTATATTAATGGACTCCATTTATTATGTTTGTCCATACATAAGAGAAACATGGAATTATTTATTATCATATTTTACTATTGTTATAGTTGTCTTGGGTGCTGTCCGACAACACTGCAGTGACGTCTCTTAGTGGGCTTCGGCGTGTGTTGGCGAACGGTTCGTTGGAACTGCTACCCTTCTCCTCGGAGCACTTCAGGCGAGATGTGCACGCCACTATATACCGGTGTCGGCTGAGACTCGGCAGTGGGTTCGTCGTGCTCTCCAAGAACATTCATGTACATGCGGGTGAGTATGGATATACTTAGATTTTTCACTTAATTTAAAAATTACCTTTAAAATAAATAAATATGAAAAAAGTTTAATTAAATTCCTTAGATTGTAATAACCTTTTTTTTCAAAGTTTCACATAACAATACATATCATGTATGTCGTTTATAGTAAGTAAAGTGTAAATATTTGTAGTTTCAAAGATAGAAACGATACATGTATTTTTTTTTAATTTCGCGGGAATGCATGTAAAATATTAAACGAAATATTAAAGATAATCATAAAAACGACAGAAACTAACAAAATCAACACACACTGAACACTTCCCGTTCATATTGTTCTAGCCCAAAATATTTCCGCAGAAATAGGAACAAGTAACAGCTTTGAATTGTTAGATGTGGAAGTAGGAGATGCTCCAGCCAAAAGAACACCTAAACCACCACCGATTATACTGTATGGCATTGAAGACCTTGCGAAACTCACCCAACTCATCGAAGAAGTTGTGGAAAAGGATGACTACACTTACAAAATAGTATCCAAAAATCAGCTCATCATCTCATCCCATACGGTTGACAAATATAAAACCCTGATAGAGCATATAAGAAGCAAAGGACTTATAGGTCACACTTTTACACGCAAGGATCAAAAATGCACAAGGATTGTTATTAAACACCTTCACTTCAGCACACCAAAAGATGCTATCATAGAAGCAATAGAAAAAACCGGAAACAAGGTTCAAGGGGAAATAGTCACTGCTCGGAAACAAGGAACCAAAGAACCCCTAAATACATTCTTTGTCAATGTAGCCCCGCATGAAAATAACAGACTTGTCAAGGAAATTAAGTTCATATATAACCAGAAAGTCACCATAGAAGATCCAATAAGAAAAACGACTGTGGTACAATGTCAAAGGTGCCAGCAATATGGACACAGCAAAAATAACTGCATGAGGCCGTACAGATGCGTGAAATGTGCCGGAGCACACAAAACCACCATGTGCCCGATTGATGAAAACACCCCAGCGGTTTGTGCGCTGTGCTCAGGAAGTCATCCTGCTAGCTACAAAGGATGTCAGGTGTATAAGGAAATTGTAGCAAGAAAGCATACTGGAAACGAACGACAGCCACATCCGAGAACAAGAGCAACTCAGAAAGTATTGAAAAACCACACTACAACTGACGAGTCCCAAACTGTCACAGACACGACAATCATCAAGCCTGTAAGTAACCCCAGGGCCACCCAACCAACAAGTCGGCAGTCCAGCGTAATAGAAAGCTTGAAACTTTACAGTGAAGCTGTCAAAGGATCTAATGAAGCTGTAGTAGACCTTACAGAGACACAGAAAGCATATCCGAGAAATAACATTAACCACACGAAACCACAGAGAACACAGAAAGACAAAGTTTATCATACAGAGTCACAGAGAATAAATACAAAAACTTACGCTGACCTTGAGTCACAGAGAACACATTTGACAAAAATAGAAATCGAACAGGACAATAAATATAGCTTAGAAGCACTTTTACGAAGACAGAGTGAAAGGATCGACCAACTCATATCACACTTTAGCACAATGATGAATCTCATCATGACACTCATCAGTAGGCTTCCGCAATGACGTCATTACGTATTGCTACCTGGAATATCAATGGCCTAACGCCAAATAAACAAGAACTAGAGGTACTGTTGAAAGATAATAAAATCGATATTGCTCTGATATCAGAGACCCATCTTAATTATCGTAAGAGTTTCAAGATGGATAACTACTGCGTATATTGTACCAATCATCCTGATACTACATCACACGGAGGGTCTGCAGTTATTGTAAAAAGTAACATTAAACACCAACTTCACAGTCAGTTCCAAGAAGATTGGATGCAGGCTACTACCATCACTATAAACGAACGCATGGGCCCTATTAACGTAAGCGCTATCTACTGCCCACCAAAGCATAACCCAAAACAACACATGTTTGACTGCTACTTCCAGATCTTGGGAAACCGATTCATAAGCGGGGGAGACTGGAACTGTAAACACACCCACTGGGGATCAAGATTGACCACTACTAAAGGACGAGAGTTGAAAAAATGTATTGATAAACACAAACTTATAACAATAGCAACAGGCGAACCAACTTACTGGCCAACTGACGCTAATAAGATACCTGATCTAGTAGATTTCTTCATTGTAAAGGGACTGTCTGATATATATTTTGATGTGGAATCATCGCTCGATAGCGTCTCTGACCACACCCCTATAATAGCAACATTTAGCGTGTCGGCAATACACAGAGCACAGAGGCCAGCATTGTACAATCACAAAACAGACTGGGATGCTTTCACTGAATATCTGAAAGATGAAGTCAACTTAAAGGTCAAACTTAAAACAGAACAAGATATAGATGATGCAACATTCTATATCACAAACCTTATACAAGTCGCTGCGTGGCGTGCTACCCCGACATTAGGCTATTCCACCCATAAAAATAATATACCGCTGGAAATACGCAACAAACTGAAAGAAAAACGGAGACAACGAAGGCAGTTACACACGAGCAGGTCTGATTTAGACAGGGCAGAATACAATAGAATCACTAGAGAACTAAAAGAACTAATCAAAGAAAATCGGAATACATCTTTTCAAGAAAAACTTTCTACGCTTTCAGCTCACAAGAAGGACAACTACTCACTATGGAAAATAACTAGAGGCTTTAAAAGACCATTTAGCCATATTCCACCACTAAGGATCTCTTCCGACGATCCGTGGGCTAGAAGTGGAAGTGAAAAAGCTGAGCTTTTCGCTAAACACCTAAGCAGGGTTTTCACTCCAAACCAGTCATCAATGACGGAATTTGAAGAGGAAGTTGATCTAATGATCAATAGTGACCAGCAGTTATCACTACCGCTGAAGCTTGTCACTCCAAAGGAACTAGCACGAATAATTCGTTACTTGGAAAACAAAAAAGCTCCTGGCTTCGACCTAATAACGGGTGAAGTCCTTAAGCAACTGCCTAGAAAAGCAATAGTATTTTTAACAATGCTATTTAATGCCATTTTTAGAATTAATTACTATCCAAAGCTATGGAAAATATCCCAAATCTGTATGATTGCAAAACCAGGGAAACCACCAACAGAACCTAGCTCATACAGGCCCATAAGTCTTCTCCCTATTCTGTCAAAGGTATTCGAGAAGATTCTATTGCTAAGACTAAAACCAGTTCTGGACGAAAACAAGATTATACCTGATCACCAGTTTGGATTTCGGGAAAAACACTCTACTGTCGAGCAAGTACATCGTGTGGTTCACAAAATTAGACAATCGCTAGAGAAAAAGGAGTATTGCTGTGCAGTATTCATTGACATCCAACAGGCATTCGATAGAGTCTGGCACAAAGGACTGCTGTACAAGCTAAAAACCCTCCTACCAAACTCTTTCTACATGATCCTAAAATCTTACTTGGATCAAAGAAGATTCCAAGTAAAATACGAAGAAGAGCTATCACAGCTGTATTACATCACTGCCTCAGTTCCACAAGGATCGGTGCTTGGCCCAGTCCTTTACTCAATATACACGGCTGACTTGCCTGAGACAGAAAAAGTTGTAACAGCAACTTACGCAGACGACACCGCATGCCTTGCAAGCGATACAAACCCGAACAACGCATCCCTGCTGCTACAGGAACAGCTCAATAAAGTTGATTTATGGCTTAAGAAGTGGAGAATCAAACCTAGCGTAACCAAATCGACACAAATAACATTCACACTCCGAAAAGGCGACTGTCCACCTGTTCTTATGGAAGACAAGCCATTACCAAACAGTAACAGCGTGAAATATCTCGGTCTACACCTGGATAGAAGACTTACCTGGGCTAATCACATAAAAGCCAAGAAAACAGAAGCCACCTTACAATTCAAAGGTCTGTCTTGGTTACTGGGACGTCAATCCCGGCTGTCAATCGGAAACAAACTACTCGTATACAAGACTATAATAAAGCCAATCTGGACCTACGGGATAGAGCTCTGGGGTTGTGCTAGCAATTCCAATATCGAGATTCTCCAGAGATTTCAAAACACTGCTCTAAGAACAATTTCAAGTGCACACTGGTTCGTGAGAAACACGGAAATACATGAATACCTGGAGATGCCAACCGTAAGGGAGGAAGCTTGTAAAATAAGCAGGAGATACAAGGAGAGGCTCAATAAGCACACAAATGAACTGGCTAAGAACCTATTAAACCGACATGAAGATGTGACTCGCCTGAAAAGATGTCAAATACTAAACATAGACCAGAGAAACTAACTACTTAGTATCTGTCAACTCATACGGTGCTGTTTAATGGAATCGCACCCGACCCAAATTAATCCCAGAAAACATCTGATTATGGCTGAAAGCCGATTGCAGATATATATATATAAAAAAAAAAAAAAAAAAAAAAAAAAAAAAATATTGTTCTAGCCAGAGAATTGCCTCAAGACTGAGATACGATTCAATAAGTGCAAGTTCGAACAGATAAACCGATTCCCGATATTTAGTATGTTCTTTTTAAATCTTTCGTAAATAAACAATCAAAACTAAACTAACTACCGGATTTTAAAATGGTTTACTTTATAGTGAAAACTGTGAAATGTGAAAATCGATATATCAGTATTTTAAATAGACAAATTCTTGTATTCTGAATAGATATACATACATACATTCATCTATTACATATATCTATTTAGATTACAAGTATATATAAGTTATAAATATAAGTTGTACTAACATTTACGAATGGATGGAATAAATTACGAGCTATCAGATCCTGGCGTTATATTTTTGGATCCTGCAACATAATTATGTTATTTTTTAGTTTAGAACGCACAGTTAATAAACTTATAAGGTAATTACTATTTATTTAATTATTAATATGTATAAAATAGCAAGAAAGTAAAGAAAAATAATGTAAAAAGAAGTTATCCAAAAATTAAATTCCCTATAATAAAATATCTCACTAATATACCTACGTTCTTTATCAAGACATTGAGCGAACTCAGCTCTGGTTAAGCCAGTCATTAAAATATGTAGGTACCTGCCGATAATAACGTTAAAAATATAAAGTTCATTCAGGACTTTCCTGTGTGTAAAATCTACCATGCCCTTTGTTACCATTCATGGGAAATATACTAAATTAAGCGTAGATGAAAGCGATTTGAAATCCGCAATTAGGACCCTGTGAAGAAACGTACCGTTCGTAATAAAAGGGATTATTGGAAATAATACACAGTCAGCAGTCTTTAAATTGTATGTCCTACTCGAATTAACCAAAATAATCGTACCAAAAAAGTGGATAACCGTTATTCAGAACGTTTCTTTCTAAATTGAAATGCGTGGAATATGCGAATGAAAAGAAAGAAAGACTTACGAAATATTCCATATTTAAATTAAGGTTTCTAGAAGCGTCGATTCTAAATTTTTACTGAACATTGAAATTCCAACGAGCATACCTTTTTGGGAATACTCGAAGTAATGAATTCCTTGTCTAATAAGCTATGCGGCTTGTTGTTGTGTTGCAAATTAAGTTATTTTTTTAGAGTCCTAAAGCACAACTACAGTATGACCTTTTGGAAATTTGTAGATAATTTACATTTTGCGTTTAACCCTTGTTGTCGACTGCCCAAGTTTTGTTTACATTCAATATTGTCACTTAACCGGCGTTTTCATCGATCCTTTAGGTATTGTTAAATTAATAATTGTTTTCTTTTGTTTTTATTTTGTTCTGTATTACTAACTTTTCTCGACGTTTTTGGAAAACGATACTCGTTAACTTTCACTCAATTATTTCAAGCGAAGTATTTCTATAATAGAGCTGGTGTTTATTGTACTAAAAAATCTTTAAGCAGATGAATTGTTGTACATTATTGCATACATCAATCATCATCTCAGTCCTGGTACGTCCACTACCGGACATGAGCCCTCTCAAAGACTTAAAAAGATATCAAGTCAAAGGCGGATACAAGTAGCTTCCAACTGATCTTTTATATATTGATACGAGAAGAAAATTTATTATACGTAATTTTAAGAAAATTTCGTCAACGGGGAAGTGATATTTTTTTATTAACATTTTTAAATATTATGTGTTAGAAAAATATGAAAACGACTAAAAAAAGCTACATACATCAAATTATTACGTTTGAAAAGTAAACAATGACAGATCAGTCTCCCCAACAGAGGGTATGATGCAAAAAAGCATTCCCCGCGTAGAAAATAAGATCAAGTTATACCGGATAATTAATAAACGGAAAATGAATCAACGCTAACAGAAACTTCGACCTAACTTTTGATAGGCTATTCCAAATGGTATATCACTAACATTGTACGTCTTCCACAGCACTAAACATACCTTGGGAAGTGCATGTACCAGACGAGTACGTGATGGCGGGCAACGCAGCGGTGTTGCGATGTGTGATCCCGCCGCATTGCGCCGACCGAGTCAGTACTACAGATTGGTTTACCGACAACGAGGTCGCTGTTTCGCATTACTTAGGTATGTACATATCAATTGCACTCGATGTTTTTTCTATCTTACTTTTACATGTAATTCTAGTCGGCTCACTTCGATCTGAAGAGGTAAATAAGAAATTACTATATAAAAAAGATGAACCTAATTGGAAGCGAAGTGTTTGCAACTTAACTACTTAACGAAAACTCACACAGGTTCACTAACTATCGGCAAAACACGCAACTAATTTATATAACATTAGTTATTTAAGACTTTCGCATTATCTTTTTCTAAAGAATAGTAAATCTAAATATTTAATCACCAGCCAGTTGTGCCTATCACTCCACACTTTTAAAGAAATATTTTTTCAAACAAACTAAGTATAGGTAGGCTACTAACGTATTCGATTGTGACAACAAGTTAGTAGTAATAGATTTATATCTAAGGTGTGGAAGATACCAGAAGATCAATTCTCTTAAAAACCAGTTCTGATCTTCTCTCGATCTCACAAATGTCATAAAAGGTATTTTCGTTGTAGTAGGTATTAAACATCCAACATTAACAGTTATGTAATTATACAGTATTAGTATTGTGACCGGAAGTTGAATCAGTATTCTGCTAATATAAATATCAAAATACCTTTTATGACATTTGTGAGATCGAAAGTAAATCAGAACGGAATTTTGAACGAATTTATATTACGAGAATTATATTGACCTCTGGTCTGGCTTTACTAAGTTTGAGTCTAAATGCTCAGGACAGTAACGAAACAGCAGTCAAAAAAAGATATTCGAGAAGTAAAAATTACGCATACTAATGTCGTAAGTCTATTAAATTTCCATTTGAACTATCTGATACTTACTTCACTTCTCCAATCTGAATTATCGTTAACAGTTTGAACGTAATCGGAATCCAATGGTTCTACATTACATGGTTGAATGTAGAAGGTAATAAAACGGCCTCATAAATTCTAAATTGTTATTTGATTTATTATTCTCTTTAGTGTAACTTAAAAAGAGTTGCGATTTATCGATTATCAATTATCAGACTACTTCCAGACGATTTTGTGTATACTAAAAATTAAACCCCTAAAAACATCTTATTACACTTCATTACAAAGTCGCTACGAGCGACGGGCGAACTCGTTTCAACATTTCAACAAAATACAATATTATTTATACTAATTACTAACATTGTTATAATCGAATTTAAATGTCGGTGACATTCGGTATGGATTCACTTCTGTAATTTATTGTTTGGGCTTGAAACTTTTGACTCGCACTGCTAAATAACCATCTCTCTCATTTGACAACACCAATCGCATTTTCGAGATTTTACCTATTATATCACTGCCCCTAGTAACACGGTACAACACAGTTTCTTTTTATTAATGATGGGCCTGTTGGTCTGGTAATGATCTCTGCGTCAATAGTCAAGATCCAACTGTCGGCATGAAAAATACATGACACTATTTGATCACCAAACGTAAGAGTATTTGTGGTAGATAACAGCATGCAGCGTCTGCGATCCTCGACTAAGGAGAGACTTTTTGGAATTTATTACGGGTTGTCCTCGTTGCTAAGATGATTTGCGGTGGTTGCAATGCTACAATTCTCGTCACAAGTAAAAAAATAGAATGTTTTGTTACAAAATGTACTCTCCAATATCATTTGGGATGTGAAAAACACGATAAAAAGTCAACACCGAGAAGTAAATGGGTATGCCCTAGCTGCATTTTGAGTCGTCCTAAAATGGACAATACGAATACACCAGTCCAGTCAAAACGTATACAGCGCTGCTTGACTTGACGTCAACCCAACCGTTTTCAGGAGTTTCGAAAAAATCGAGACTTGCAAGCAAAAGTATTGTATTAAATGAGGGGCGCCACTTGGAATTCCATGAGATTTCAGCAGCATTAAGCACTGAAACGGAAACAAATGTACAAAATAAAATACTTATTGAAATTCGTAAATTGCGTAAAGAAATGACTGACAAATTTGATAGTCAACAAGCTGCCTTCTTGAAGTTTGAAACTACATTAGAAACTGTACAAAAAGAAATTAATGATATGTCTTTAATTTTTTTAGTCTTTAGTCTTTAAAGATCTAGTCGCGTCTGTTTATTCAGAGGTCTTCAGTTCTATCCAAACCCTAAAATAATTGTGTGATGAGTATGTTCATATATTCTGTGTATGGGTATAATAGGTATTTATTGACCTATACTTACAATATACCCATACTACAATAATGTTATAGGCACTAATGGATACAAGTGTAGGCTCTTAATTTGGAATCAGACGGCCGTATGAGGTGTCTCAAATTATTATTGCTGTGATTTATTAAATGTCAAATCAAACTTGAAATAAATTTATTTTAACTATAGGTATAACCTATTTCTTATATGGAAAGTATGGCACACATATAAGCATACTCACACAACCACACACATATAGCTAAACTTAATATCTAACAACATTTACATTTTTTTAATTATTTGTTTTCGTAATATTCTTAAAAAATAATTTTAATGTATTCAAAACTTTGTTTGTAAATGGAAATATGTAATACAATGTATATTGCTTTTTTCCTTCGCAAAATTAACTTGCCCATCAAAACACTTGTCAACCGATGACACACACAATTACATTTTTATCCTGAATCCTATTTCAAAGAAAAAATAAATTGAGGTGTTAAAACGTTGGCTCAACACTTGTATAATAATTTTACTCGTGTAACGGTAGATCATGATTATTAAAAGACGTTTTCTCTTTGGAATGATAAGAAAATTATAATATCTCATATTATCCTCGAGTTTTCTTTTATTAAAACGTAATTTGAAAACGTGTACATTAAATGTCTAATATTTTGCCGGGATTTTTCTCTCAGCGTAGATATAAAAGTAAAAATGTTTTATTAATTTTTGGTTTATATGTAAATGTAGGTATAATAATATTAAAATATGGTGGACTAATAATAGCGTTATGAATCGTAAGCACTGGGCCTCAATTCTGCTATTACGCCAAGCCAGTGTCATACCACTGACACGCTATTGAGATGCCATCGAGTGGCCATTGGCATCGGTATAAATACCGGTAGTTGAAAATATATTACGTTTTTTGAGGAAATTATTTATTTGTTTTTATTATAATAAATTATTAAGAGAAATAAATTAATTAATTTTAAAGAGATTTCTTTAAAAACTCAAAGGCGTCCCGGTGGTAAGTACACACAAACACAGACCCTCGCCCCTGCACTAAATCAGAGAAGGCTTTCGACGCTTTCGTATGTAACGCGCGCTTGTCAAGGAAATATTTACTGTCTTTCAAGAGAGCTTTAAAATTGATAGAATTGGATTAGTCGCGTGCACTATATCTGACTTTAGAGCCTCGTACCCTGAATAGGGATTACCCCATGGGAATCAATACCTAGAGGTTTTCACTAGAATATAATCATTTACAATCACGCTAATAAAACAGTCTCATTTCTATAAACGAATTGAACATTCATAAAAATCACTCTGTTAAACATTCACACACGAGGGGGTCCTCTGCAAGCCGTAGCTGGCCCGGGGTCGAGGTACCAGGAATTTCCTTCCTAAGATACATCTGGTTCAGGTTCAGGATGGCAGCCCAAGGAACATGCGCCGCAAGTCCGTCGCAGCCGCGCGGGCGATCGTCCGCAGCGCACATTACAAGAGGCTCTGCCTGGTTAACGACCGCGTGACGTCACGGGCTGTAGACCTTCTAACGAACGCTAGTGATCTCAATACAGTAGTAACATCACACTAAAGAATACACTTCCAGATACATCTGGTTTCCTGGCTACTAGTACCCGAGACAGCGTACAGTTTTTAGTCGGTTCGCGTCCGAAATAACCACAGGTGGGTGGTATAGGAGGGGATTGCCGCACAGACAAAAAAAAAGGAAGAAAAGGGTTTAAACATTCAACTTACCAACAAACCTGACAAGTCACTTAAGTTTGACTTGGTCCCTTCGATACTTAAATACGTTAAAATTATTGGAGTGAAATTGTTTTTGCCTTAAGCCTTGAATCTGCTATTAGTACTAGCCATGAATGTAATAAGTTCCTAGTACTAAGTAAGTAATAGAGCTAAAAAAAGTATGCAAAATACAAGTTGTAATTCATATATATACCTATTAAGATGTTACAATTTTAGCTCTAAAAATGTGCTATCAAGAAATGTGTTTTGGGTAATGTGTGATAATGCACACGATTAACATAATATTTACTCTTAAACGAAGTGCAGTTTAAACACAAGTTATTGGTTGTAAGGATAGGAATCCTTTTTAGAATTTTTAGAGCTAAAATTGTAACATCTTAATAGGTATATATATGAATTACAACTTCACAAAAAAGTGGTCTTATACAAGGATTTTAAAAAGGGATAACTTAAAGCCATGTCTCTTTTCCTTGCACTGTAAATGAGCTTAAAAAGGTGAGTTCTTGTATACTCATGCGAGTAGCACTGACATTGCGAGTTGTGCACGGTAACACATGTGCCTAAAATTCACGTTCAACGCCCATCATCTCAACATAGCCTTACTACAATCAATTTTTTCTTACCAAATCTCATTACTCGTTAAGCGTCGTCACTGTACCTCTTAGCAATTTTTTTCGGCGGGCTTCACCCTCTAAGAAGAGCACGGTTTGTTGACTATTACCACAACAATTTATTTGTCCAATCTTTGAAATTGTGATTAATTTTTAAAAAGCCATTTAAAATTATAATACAGTTTAAAATTTAAGGTAAGTAATGAAATGATAAAGAAAATGCACAAAATATATAACACACATAACATTTCTGGTTTAGATAAAAGTTAAAAAAAAAAAGTATACCTAAATTAAAAAATTTGCTGTAAATATAGGAAGTACGTCAAAGAGCAACAAATGCAATGGTCGTTCCCAGGTTTTGTACTACTCCCTTCTGTGAGAAGAGATAAAGATTTTGCAAAGTATTCTTTCTTACAATTTGTTACAACTCTGATGCACATCTTATTACCATAGTGGTTATATTTCGTAATTTGCCCTTACTTCAATAACGTTCTAGGCAATTAACTGTCTTATCTTTATATAAAGCTTTTGCTGCGGCTCCACCCACGTGTATGTCAGTCATCGCGGTAAAAAGTAGTCTATGTTACTCGCTGATAATGTAGCTTTTCATTGCTAAAATAATTTTTAAAATCGATTCAGGAGTTTAGTCGTGAAAGCGTAACAAACAAATAACTCACTTTCACATTTATAATATAATTATGAATTCTTATTAAGTACATTTGTATGTATCTAAATTTCTCTTAGTGACCATATTTAAGTGGTTCCGTAGATATTTTGATTCAAAATAATACCCAATAAGTGGTGCTCCAATTTTGTCCTAAGATTTGATTTAAACTTTTTGCGAAATTTAATTTGTGTTTCAATGTTCAGACATTGTTTCCTAGCAGTAACTATACTTTTTGTACGTCTTTTTTGTAGTTCTTTTAGTTCTAAAACTTATTGTCATTTTTGTTCAGGCTCGAAGTACCAGCGGTTGGATGATGGCTCCTTGTACATAAGTGGAGTGAGCACCCATGACAGACATAGCGCTTTCCGGTGCAGGGTGCGCGACCGGATCACCGGTACTTTATACACTAGCCAGTATTTCGGTAAGTAAAACTAGAATTATCACCAATCCGTTTATTAAAATAGTATTACTGTCAAGAGATAAATTTTAAAGATACTTAGGTTTGGCGAACAGAAATATTAATGACGTGACAGTCAGGTTCACTCTCACTGTACAAAGAAGAGAATATCTTATATCCCTTTATCTTTTCTTTTACCGCTTAAACCGCCGACACAACTAGCTAAGTTTTTAACAATTAACTGATCGCGTAACATTTGCTTCTTCCACTTTATAAAAGTGTCTTAATCTATGATATGTTTCTTTATTATTGTCATAGTTTAAATGCAATATAAATGCAAACCCTTTATATTTATCAGGTCACATAATAGTGACAGAACCTAAAGGCGGAGTGCGTCCTCGGGTCGTGTTAGAGCCGCGAACGCGTCGCATTCAAGCTGGCCAGGACGTCCGACTTCCTTGCGCAGCTCATGCTTGGCCTGTTCCCAGTTATAGGTAAGGAGTATATATAACAAATAATAATAATATATTTTTATTTCCACCATGGTGTCCATTTTGTTAGTAACAATATTTTTAGGGACTACTGTTAGTACAGTACATATACGAGTAGAAAACAAAACACAAAAATGCAAAAAGTTGTAAGTACTTAATTTTTGAAAAGACGGCAGGAAATATAATACTTATGGCTTACAACACAGAATTGCATTTTGGCGAGCTTTTGTTCTTACCTTGTAATTTAAGCCTCTAGTTGATATATGTACATAACGTAATAACTGTTTACAATTTTTTTTATTATTTTTTCATAAAAATTGTTTACAATGTCTTTTTATAATAATAATCTATCTGACCCGGCTGGCCTGTTGGTTTAGGGGTTAGTGATCCTGACTGCTACGCCAGCGGTTGTGGGTTCGATTCCCCCCCAGGACAAATAATTGTGTGATGAGCACGGTCATTTGTTCTGTGTCTGGGTGTACTTTATGTATAATATGTATATATTTAGAAATATATAAGTATGTTTATCAGCAGTTACCATAGTATAGGCTCTGCCTAATTTGGAATAAGATGGCCGTGTGTGAGATGTGTGAAAATTTTATATTATTATTATCTTTTATAACTTTTCTCGTCTCCCTTTTATTTTAAAGGAGTAACAAAATCTAACAAGCGGGCCGTAGCCAAGTGAGCCAGAAAGGGATGATGTAAAATTAAGATGATGAGAATGAAGTGCGAAATTTGCGTGTGAGACGGCATGTATTAAGGACTACCTTTTGTAAGAGTATTAGAGAGGATTTCGGCATTTCCAGTGTGTTGAGGCTATCTCGAAGAATCTTTAGGACTACACCAGTTGTACATATGACAATGGGTACAATTTAAACTCTATCTACCTGCCATGGCCTTTTTATTTCAGTTCCTAAGTCTGTGTATTTTTACATCTTTTCTGTGTGCGTCGTGAGTAGATTATGTGTGTTACATACTGCTATGTCTATAATAAAAACTATATTGTTAGTTTTGTCTAGCATTGTTATATCTGGTCTATTATAGTGTATGGTTTTGTTGGTAATTATTGTCCTATTCCATTATATTTTTTCATTATATTATTTCCCATTATATTCCCATCATTATTTTCTAGAACTGTAATGATAAGCAGTTTTATTTGAAATAAATGAATATTTGTGAGCTTGATTTTGATGGATTATTGCTGCAACTTGGCCATGTCTGTGTTTATATTCAGTTTGTGCAATTGATTTACAAGAACCAGTGATGTGTTCGATGGTTTCGGAACTGCTATGGCATCGTTTACACAAGTCATTAGGAAGGTTAGAGGTACGGATTATGTTATTATTATTATTATTTCTATGCCATATTTCATGCAGATCCATTAGGCTGATTTTGCGTAAAAGAGTAACAAACACCCATACAAACTTTCGCCTTTATAATATTAGGAAGATAAAAAGCTTGATAGATTCAAATATATCCCGGTCATTTGTTACATCGTATGTTTTTACCGCTCCTACATTGGTACTTGGAACTTGGAGTATTGGCAATTCTGATAAGCGTTCCCAATAAATGGAACACTCAAATATGTATATATACATGGTCTAACGCTTTCCTCTTTCAATAGTACTTTTACTAGAAATACCAATCGTGTCATAACAAAAACAAACAAGGGCAAAAGTAATATTTTGGTATTCGTTCCAATTGTTTTGAATCATTTTTTTTTCTTTAATTATGTTTCTACTGATGTACAAATATATAAAAAGAATCATTAAAGTATGCGTTGCTTTCTTAATTTTATATTCTCTTTTAAAATATGCGTGGTATAGTAAAGATAGGATATGAAAAGGTCAACCTTGCCACAAATAGGTACGTTTGCATAAATGTAACACTTAACATATTTGACTTGTAGTAAAAAAATAAACGATTTGTAAAAATCTTAAAATTAATCTTTACTGTGTAATACCAGATGATACGCTCAAAAAACCCGTAAACCTATTTTTTTAACAACAGGCGTTTCTCCATTGTTGTTAGTAAAATTATTTAAAATTAAAGCCAGTGATTGAATATCACTATTATTATTTCGCGTATATATTATGATACTGATATGCACGATTAATATCTTATTAAATTGCAAAATCTGCTGAGAAACTAAATAAGGGTATCTAGGCAAATTTTAATTTGATATGAAATGAAATAGGTATTTATTTTTAAACCGTAAGGGTAAATAGTTGACTGGTCGAGAATGCCTTAGGCGTTAAGTCGACCAATGCACCACATACACTCGTATGAGTAAATAAATAAATACCTTTAGTAATGTCAATATAGAATAAAAGTTATATATATTATATCTAAAGGTTGGAAAATGTTCTCATGTTAATGACGTCTTTGTATTTAATACAGAATTACAAGCATAATTCTATACAAAAACTTAAAAAAAATGATTTATGCTAAATAGAGTGCCATGCCCGCTAAGAAAATCTCAGATACTAACAGTAAAAAGCTTTGCAACAATTTCTTGGTAGTCTTGTATCAGCTTGCTAAAAGGTATCGCTCCTGTAAGCAAACAACAGCGTCGCCCGACGCCCGCACAACGGAAAGAGGCTAAAATAAGGCTGAAACTTCACTTTTTACCTCAGAAATAGGTCTTGTGTAGGAAATGACACGTAAATGGCCATCGACTGCTGATTCGTTTGAAAGGTTTTACGCATAAAACCTTCTTTAGTTCAACGCTGAGCTCTACTGACTGATAAAGGTTTTGTTACAATACATTTATCGAACTTTTTGTGTTTGTCAAGATAGAGGATATACAGCTTATGTATAAAGTTATATATTATTGATTTATTTAAATTGTCATTGGAAGAAATGTGCTTTAGAATTTTCAATAATTTTTACACACTCTCCAAATATTGCCCACGTATTTGAAAGATTTTCACAGGATCAAGGAAAAAACTTAAATTTAATCCTAACAAGATTTTGCCATCAATTTAAATCAGCGCCATATGGCATTCGCATATTACATTAAAAATTTTGGTGTTATATAGTAATATTCTTTGTACTATATTTAATATAGAAGTGTGTAAATATGCGCTGAATTTCTTCCAAATATTCCGGAAATTAACTGAAAAAAAAACCATAAAATAAGTTTTTAAGATATAATTATTGCGTGTGTTTTCCGACCTAGTTAAAAGCTGTTAAGGTGACATGTAGATGTTTCATAGTTGCCTTAGCCTCTAGTTTTATTAAGAAACTCTCCTTGTAACGCTTTTCATCGTAGGCTTAAAACTGCGCCGTTATCGGTACTACAAATATATTCATATTTTAATTCACTCTACTTACAAAAGGTTTAATGAAAAGCGAACACGCGACAGACATAAGGAACGTGACTCTGGGAGTGTTTTAGCGCTCATAAAAGAGCTTGATATTTTCACAGTTCTTCTTCTGTAAAAATAATCTTTTTCTCAGCCTCTTGTTATAATTATGTATAACATTATGTTCTACAAAGTTACCCCTATATTTATAATATCAGTTTAAATATATGTACTAAGGAAGTAAGGTATACGATGGCTGGCAGGATCTGGTTGCGAGAAGCCAAAACTCCATCTAAGGGGCGTGCAATGGGAGAGGCCTATGTCCAGCTGGTGGACTGGACTGCGATAGGCTGATGATGATGATGATGAAGGAAGTAAGTAAAACTAAGTGTTCGTTCAAGCAGAAAAACGATCGTAGAGAATCGATTACCATAGTACCCAATATGTAGAGGCCTGCAGAAAACGCGACAACTTGGGTTAATTAAAAGAGGCTTTAAGGCTATTTCTTGGGTTCTAATGTAGATAGAGAATTCTCAGTAGGAATATTACTTAAGAGAAACCGAACCAACAAAATATCTTTACTATTTAAAGACTTTTCAAAAATCTAAGTTCTGATAACTTAAATGACATGACAATTGACTGACAAGCATAGCAAAACATACCTGCACATTAAAAGGTTATATTCTGTACACATGTTATTTTCTAGGTAACAAATCGAAAAGTACTTAGTCAATTTGGGATAACCCATGGGTGATTGAATTGAAAATAAATATCAATTTTATTAAGCTATTGCATAGCTTCTATCGAGGGCCTTGAGCTCGGGGACCGAATCCAGAAATTCCGTAACGAAAAAAAACCTCACGCTAAAAACAAAACAAAAAACAGTACCAAAATCAAATTCTGAACGTCAAAGAAAATTTCGTCAACATAATGCAGAAAAATCTTACATGGATATGTAATTTGATTTAATAATAATATTTTTTATTTATTTATTTAAAAACAAATTGTAATATATGCTTCAATATTTTTATTTAATAAAAGAAAAAAAATTGTTTTCTTATCGGTCACCACGCTCAAAAAGTGTAACTTGAATTAATATCAAAGAAAAAGAAATACTGCATAAATAAAATAAATAAATAGTTATAATTGCATAAGTTGATACAAAATGCTATGCAATAGCTTTACCGCGGCAGTCCCCGAGTGCCACACGTCTTTTTTTTTTTTTAAGAATTTAAAAGTAAAATGACTACAAATACTGAACTTATTTAAATAATATTATTATATGCGTTTATTACAATACATTCAACCCGTGTGTCTCGTAGGAGCCAACTAAGGGAGCAAACTACGCAGGACATTAGCAGTGCATTATTCCAAAGCAATTTTTAAAAAACTTACTTCAAAAAAAACATCATAGCTGAAGTGTTTTATTATTGAAAAGCGCATCACTTTTTTCGCAAGCATCGTTTTCAACGTGGCCATCCGCCGCCCAGCCGCAAGTCCGGACCGTCGTAGAAGCTGCCCTCCTCGACAAATGGCCCTCAAGCGGATGAAACGAGATATGCTCGTCGCCGAAGCCATCGTCGCGGATTGTCAAGAGGAAGAAGAACGGGTCTCGTCCAATCTGTGGCGTAATGACTGACGTCTGCGCCACGTCGATGCCACGGGTCAGACTGGGAGGTAGCAGGAGTTCTG